TATTAAAAATCGATTGCAATATTTGAATGGAAAAATATAATTTAGCCATTTCCCGACCACGCAGAATTTCAGATTTTTTTTCAAATTGCATCGTCATCAGGCGTGAACAAGTGTACCAAATTTCAGGCTTTTAGGTGTCCTGTAAGTATATTGAAAATCGATTGCAACATTTAAAAGGAAAATAGAATTTAGCTATTTCCCGACCACCCAGAAATTCAGATATTTTTTCAAATTGCATCGTCATCAGGCGTGAACAAGTGTACCAAATTTCAGGCTTTTAGGCGTCCTGTAAGTATGTTAAAAAAATTCCAATACTTAAGAGGAAAAATAGAATTTAGTCAATTCCCAACCACTTAGAAATCTTCAAATTTGTCAGTTCGCATTGTTATCAGTTGTGAACACGTGTATTAAATTTTAGGCTTTTAGGTGTTCTGTAAGTATATTAAAAAATTGCAATATTTAAAAGGGAAAATAGAATTTAGCTAATCTCCGACCACCAATAAATCTGAAAATTTGTCAGTTTGCATTGTCATCAGGTGTGAGCAAGTGTACTAAATTTCAGACTTCAAGGTGTTCTGTAAATATAGTAAAAATTGATTGAAATATTTGTCGCGCTATAATGACAGGCACACAGAGAAACAAGTTAAATATACAAAATATTTTGAAATATAGATTTTCTTATTTGCTTTTCTTTTGTTGAATGCATAATCTGTGCGAATTTGGTTTTTTTCCATAAACAAAATGGCTGTCAAGACCCCCATAGTAGGAAGCTTCTTGTCATGGATATGCTGAACAAATGTTGATTGCTGATAGTAAGATAAGATGGCAGATACGACAGGTCGGTCACGTTTGTGACTCATGATAATCACTCGGTGCATGTGACGCATCTCATTGGTTCGTGAAGGTCACGTGATAACTTGTTATTTAAGGAAGATTTTGTTCACCTCCAAGTAAACCAAAAGACAACGTCAAGGTAAGAAGCTTCTTCCTTTCGTCTATGTAGGAATGCTTGAAATTTCTGGTATTATGATTTGTTTTAGAATTTAAAAAAAAGTTAAAATTTAATAGAAAAGTTATCTAAAATTATACATATTTTTTCCATTTGAGCACATTTTTGATTATTTTTATTTTTTTTCCATAAGCAATCATAAAAGTGAAATTTGAAAAAAGTTGTTTTAAAAACTATATTCAAATTAACTTATGACTGAAAAAAAAAAAAAGACGAAATCGCTGGGAGGGTTCACCACTGATGAACCATTCCTTCTCTCTTTTAATTTTTAATCATTACAGTATAAGTACTGTATAAATAGATTATATATATATATGTTTTATAATTAGCGTTTAAAATATATTTCTAATTTTTAACTTATAACTAACAAGTTTTTTTTTTTCATAAGGATTCTTATATATATATATATAATTTCACTTGTTTTACTCAATGTCTTTATTCGTAAATATTTATAAAACCTTGCATCTTGTAAAACTTTTTCGGAGGTACAACTACTTAAATGGGAACGATACAGAGAATATTATAATGGCCCCAGCGCAAGGATGACATGCAAAACCGTTTAGCGTTCCATATTTATAAAACCTTTAATTTATATTTGCATATTATATAACGTTTAAAAAAATATATGATTTCGGATATGATAATTAAGAAAAAGGCAATTCTCTTGATACAATACATTTTTATATAGTTATTTTTTTATGATCCATAGCGCGCCATCTGTTATGAATATTCGAAACTATTATAGACGTGTATGATTCTTTTGAAAATTAAACAATTTCTACTGCCCTTACTGCAATGGAAAAATTTAATTCTTCCCTTTAATTTTTTCCTTTGCAATAAGGGCAGTAAAAATTGTTTAATTTTCAAAATAATCATAGGCGTCTATAATAGTTATTTTTTTAAATTGAAATACAGTTTAGAATTTGCTTGAGTAAGAAAAATAAAGGGCGTACCTGGATATGTAAAGAGCATTTTTTTTTCTCAAAACAAGTTTTCATGTAATCTACAAGAATTTGTAAATTAAGTTTACTGTGTAATAGATTGATAAAAAAGCGATATCTCGAAATAATTCGATAATTTTTTTTTTTTTTTACAGATCCAGATACGCCCTTTTTTAAGTTTAAAATCAGCTCTTTTTTTGCAATCAATGTGTATATATTAATTTCTAAATATAATTTAATCTCTTATTTTATATTTCTCTAATTGATATATAATAAATTTTCAGAGAAGAGACAATATACAAAGTGTATATATTAAACAAAAATTGAAATGAGTTTTATAATATGCATTTTTATAACATCCTATAATACTGTGAAAAATAGTACAAATGTGATGTTGTACTGAGATATGGTTCATAAATTAATAAACTAAAAGGGCATCTCCTTCAGTTACCCGATAAGATGTCCTTTTTTCTTTACTTAATCTTAGAATAGGTAAAAAAAATATATATATATCTAAAATTCATATTATTATAAATAATATATAAATCTTATATAATAATAAATCTAATATAATCTTGTTTAAATCGCTAAATGAATACTTAGAAAAAAGAAATTTGTTCTAATTTTATCTATTAAAAAGCAGAAGAATATAGAACAGTTTTTCAAAATGGCGATGCGACGCACAATTTTAAAGCCCTAAATTTTCTTGTAGTAAACAACATTTAGACAGGTGTCTTCTGTCCCCCATTTCTAAGAATGTAGTTCCCCCTCCCCCATTTCCATCCTCCCACACCGCCCCCCTCTTCTTACCACCCCCTCAACATCAATCTTGGGAAATGGCACAAAGAAATATCCTGTTTTCTTAGTCATCTTCCTCAAACGAACCTTTGAAAATGAGCAAAATATTCGAAAATACTCGTCTTCTTTCTTATCTCCACTCAATCATATTAGGGCATTAAGCTTGTAGAGCTTGTTGATGGTGTGGGTGAAGTAGAATGCGTCTGCCTTTGTCAATAAGACTGGAAGCACTACTCAGTGGCAGGCCGACTTAGCTCCAAAAGAAATGGACGCCTCTGACATGAGGAACAGACGCAATGTGCAGCTGCTCCTAACATGGGAGTACAAACGCTGCTCATCCTGTATCCATGAATCAGGAGTACTAATAACAGGGTACTATCAGCCGGGACAGCTGAACCCAGGTTTTTTAGTGAGCTTGTTACTGCTTCCCTCCTTTTTCATCCGGGTTTGGGACCGGCAAAGGCGGAGTTAAATGTGTATTGTTAATTTTGTAATATGGTGAGAATATGACAAACAACTATTCGAGATTTATAAAAATCAAAAAATAATATGATAATCATCTAAAATTTTGTCGAGAATGGAAATATTCCAGTATTAATTCCGTTTGTAAAATGGGCGTCAATTTTATGCAATCAATGAAAGACAAATATTGAGAAAGGGGGTCTGGCTATTATCAATTGTGAACACTCCTTTGTTTGAACTGGTAGATAACTAAATACAAAGTTCATCTCTGATAAGCTTGATAAAATCTCTGATAACAATATCAGTAATTGAGCAAATTACTCATTAATTAGCGTAATTAACGCTAAGTTATTTCTATAAATGGAAAGTTTTTGTATACCGCAATAACTATGAAACAGCTAATAGTTTGATGACATTAACTCTGGTTTTTTCTTAGCTCAATATCAACTTACAAATGTAAAGTTTTGTTGTCTTGTAGAAAGTTAACCATGAATATACAATTGAAACTATTGCTCTGCCAGTGACTTGTGGGATTGCAAACATAGCTATCTGATTTGGTGTGTTAAACAAAATTAATATGAAATTATAATTAGACGAGTGGGTAACACCCTCGATTCCCGACAGTCATTAACAAGGATTGAATCCAGCGTTTACATTTTGTTTAATATATGAATAACCTTCACATATTATTCATTTTGAAAATAGAGCAATCCATAAATAAATATTTAAATAAAAAGGCCTATATTGGATCAAAATATCATTTATTTTACCAATATTTCAGTTGGCTGAACGCTAACCTTTATCAAGGTATTATAACATTTTACCTTGATAAAGGTTGGCGTTCAGCCAACTGAAATATTGGTAAAATAAATGATATTTTGATCCAATATATGCCTTTTTATTTAAATATTATTCATTGTTTCAATTATCATAAACTAGGATGCTCTTTTTGAGCGGTACCTAATAAAGTGATTTTGGATCAAGCAAGAAGAAATTATAATTATTGGAACAAATTGTTGTTATATACTAAATTGACTTTTATTTAGCATTAGAGACCTAAATATAATGTATGATAGAAACGAATTTCTATAAAACTAAGCGAATGAACCGGTTTCATCCAGAATTTTTGCCCAAGTAAATGATCCATCAAAAATTTGTTGAACCGAAATATCATACTATCATAAGCATTACTATTATTGGCACTAAAATAATTATCTCCCATTGAACAAAATATTGAGATTGTTCAGCCTGTGTTCTTTTTCAGTAGAACTATAAGAAATTGAAACTATTTTTTGACATGTATGTTTCTTTTAAAAATAAATCAAATTTCTACTGCATTGTATTCTGTATATACGTATACAATTATCAACTGCATACTGCATTCTATTACTACTATTCCGCTCGTTTTTTATATTTTAAAAACTATTGGAAAAAAAAAGATGTAAAAAGAGGTTGTTGACTTTGCTTAGAATTTTTAATGAAAGTAATTCCATGAAAATATTAATCAAACATTATATTTATTGATTTATAAGAGAGAGAGAGAACAAAATATAAAAGGGAAACTAATATTAAAACAAAAGGAACTTTTTTTCTTTCGGTTAGTGCCTATTTACCTGTGAGCTTACACACACTCTATGGTAACAATTAATTAATATACATAGAACAGAGGACAAAAGCTTTTTTTCGAAATGTCGAGGTGATAAAAAGATTTACTAGCCGAAGTATCTTTATTTTCAAGAAATACAACAGAGGTGTTAAAATAAATTAAAACAATTGATAAACTCTTTTGTGGTTCCATGGTGTAATGGTTAGCACCACGCTGAATCCAGCGATCCGAGTTCAAATCTCGTTGGAACCTTCTTTTTGTTTTTCTTTTAATATATTTTTGTAGAACGACGTTCAACAAGTTTTACCGCAAATGTCTCTTTTTACCGAACGAAAAACCATAATTCTAATTAATTTATGGAGAAATTACGTTTTTTCGTTCTGTAAAAATAAAAATTTGCGGTAAAACTTGTTTTAAAGTGTTAACGTCGTTCTACAAAAGTATATTATTAAAAGAAAAAAAAAAAAAGAAGGTTCCACCGAGATTTGAACTCTGATCGCTGGATTCAGAGTCCAGAGTGCTAACCATTACACCATGGAATCACATAAGAATTGTAAAAAAAAAAAAAAAATTCAAACGTCGTTCTATAATCATATCCGCATTATACTGTATTATAAATATATTTTTGTATTTTAAAATATGTCATACATTATCTAGGTATCATAAATAGTATAATTTGCATCCTTTTTATATTCATTTAAAATTTATATTTTCACTTGAAGTTTTGTTCTTGGGGGGGAGGTGAATCGTCATATAAAGAAAAAGGTAACGAGGCAGGGCCTCTAGAGAGGTGCTATAGACAGGTCACTTTAATTTAAAATGTTCACATTTTAATGTTTATTTTTCGGGCGCTATTGGGAAGAAGGCGCTATTTAGAGGGGGCGCTATAGATAATGATAATAATTAAAAAAAAAAAAAAGGTTCCACCGAGATTTGAACTCGGATCGCTGGATTCAGAGTCCAGAGTGCTAACCATTACACCATGGAACCACAAGAGCATTTATCAATTGTTTCAATTTATTTTAACACCTCTTTCTAGAGAGACCTGTGTGATAAAAAATATTATGTTGCGTAAGCGCGCCATCTGTTATGAAAAATCGAAACTATTATAGACGCGTAAGATTCTTTTACATATTAAACAATTTCTACTGTCCTTACTGCAATGGAAAAGCCAGGCCCTTGCATTAATTTTTCCATTGCAGTAAGGACAGTAGAATTTGTTTAATTTGTAAAAGAATCATACGCGTCTATAATGGTTTCGAATTTTCATTAAAAATATTATAAGAAATAATATTCGTAGAAAACTAGCATCAACGCAAAGATCTGGGCACCACTTCTACCTGAAATAGTCAAACTGTCACAAAGTGTCATATTATGAGATTCTCAGTATATTCACTCAACTTATTATTTGTTGTTTCAGAATGGATCTCGCTGAATCTGCCCGTCCTCTGCTCGACCAATACTGGGCTAAGTACAAGGTAAGCTTTTGTAAAAGTATTTTACGTATTTTAATATTAAAACAAGAACATTAAGACATCAGGGAAAAGTTTCTTTAAAAAAAAAAACTTATTTAAAATTCTCAAGCTTTCTGGCAAGAAAGCCCTTCTACGGGAGAAAATAGTTTACATTATTAAAACGCCAATAAAATAAGATTTGAAGCTAAATAAAGTGCTTTGGTTGTTTACATTTGTTTCAATTCAGAATCAACGTGAGCTTCTTTTGCACGTACTTTCTAGTTTTGCTATTCAGAGGCGATATCCTCACTTGGAGGTTATGGGGTGGGTTCAGAGAATATTATGTTATAAATTTCCAGAATGTCTATTCTTCTATTAGTGCTATTGTGCTTTCTATATATAATGGATTATATGATAAGTCTCTGTAGTCTATTGGGTCTTTCATTCTCTTATCATGCTATTCCTATAAAAAAATATATATTGCAATGGCCCCCTGATTCTTGCAAAAGTCCAACCCTACCAGCGAGTGCAAGTAACCAAACGGGGATTTGGCACATTTGTAAATCTCTGAGGATGTTTATTTATTACACTATTAACGATTTTAAAATGTAATAAAGAAAATTATCCTCGGAGATTTTATATTTGATTAATTTAATTGATTCAGAGGATTATAATTCTAAAAATTTGTAAGTGCAAAGTCAATGTATAAGCTTTACTTTTTATTGAATACTTATTGAATATCGTAAATAATAAATAACTATGTAAACAATAAATTAATAGAATTGGATGGTCCATTTAGATGAGGAAAGCGCTGATTCCACACTCGTCTTTTCAGTGATACGCTAACCTTGACGTATGCACGATGGAACGTGTGGCCACTGGACATGAGTCGGACCTGGAGGCTGTTGTTGGGTTCCGTACTGCCTGGAATTTAGGAGCTCCATCTGTGCTTCCTTCTGGTGGTGAATCTGTATAAGACAGGTGGTCTTAATAAAGCTGTATGTGTGTATCAAATATTGTTGGATTCTGTGCTGCCTGGAGTATAGGAGCTCTATCTGTGCTTCCTTCCTGTGGTGAATCTGTATAAGACTGGTGGTCTTAATAAAGCTGTATGTGTGTATCAAATATTGTTGGATTCTGTACTGCCTGGAGTTAGGAGCTCTATCTGTGCTTCCTTCCTGTGGTGAATCTTTATAAGACAGGTGGTCTTAATAAAGCTGTATGTGTGTAAAAATATTGTTGGATTCTGTGCTGCCTGGAGTATAGGAGCTCTATCTATGCTTTCTTCCTGTGGTGAATCTGTATAAGACTGGTGGTCTTAATAAAGCTGTATGTGTGTATCAAATATTGTTAGGTTCTGTGCTGCCTGGAGTATAGGAGCTCTATCTATGCTTTCTTCCTGTAGTGAATCTGTATAAGAATGGTGGTCTCAGCGGTATGTGTATTTATATAATAGTACATGTTCTCAATGGTCCATTTTGGTGATGCAGGAGAAGCACAACAAGATATACGAGAGCGATGAAGAAGATGCTATGCGGAGACAGCTGTGGGAAGATTGCCTGAAGAGGATCATCAAGCACAACATCGAAAACGACCTAGGGATGACTACTTATGCCATGGGACTCAACCATCTCTCCGACCTCCGTCCTGAAGAAGTTTCAAAGGGCCTTCTTCCTCCTAGATCCTAAATGTTTGAAGCAATAAAGTTTTTAGCTAAAACATCTCTGTTTCTTCAATGTATTCCTTGTTTACACTTAATCTGTTAATGAGCACATTGTTTTAATTAGGTTTTGTATATATATGTTTCTTGTTGTTGTCGTGTCCAAAGAAGAGCCTTATATGTCTCCATGCATCTCTATCACAGCAGCAGCAGTCCACTATCTTGGGTGTGTAAAGCTGCCGCTCTGGGTCGATGTCAATATAGCTTTCTTATCTCTTGTATATATAAACTAGACGAATGGCCCGGGCAACGCCCGGGTATATATTTTTAAAATGTTTTAATTAAATTACTATTCGTTACAATTATAAATTGGCGCCGTGGATGTCTCTCTTGTGAAACGTCCCGCCCCAAACTGTGTGTGTCTTGAAAATATAAAAATAAAAATGTGAAAGGAAAAATATGTCCAGGGTAGCCTAGTGGTCATGGCATCTGCCCGGTAAGCGGAAAGTCGTGGGTTCGATTCCCATCCCTTGACACTTTTTTATTTTATCCATTCTGACCAAAATCTATCCGTGAACTTCACACAGAGAGAATAAGGCAATTATATAAGTAGATAATCCAAATTGTGCCTTATCACACACTATTTTTTTATTTGGCCTTATTACCTTGTGTTTATAATCTATGACGTAATGCCGGCGGCGCGCGCCCGTTGGCTGCCGGCGAGCACGTGACATCCCTGTGCGCTGTTGTTCTGCTGTTTCATTGTCAATACGACTTCTAGAAGTTTCAGCTTTACGCAGAAGTCTTGCAGCATGTTGTTCTGCTGTTTCATTGTCAATACGACTTCTAGAAGTTTCAGCTTTACGCAGAAGTCTTGCAGCACGTTGTTCTGCTGTTTCATTGTCAATACGACTTCTAGAAGTTTCAGCTTTACGCAGAAGTCTTGCAGCACGTTGTTCTGCTGTTTCATTGTCAATACGACTTCTAGAAGTTTCAGCTTTACGCAGAAGTCTTGCAGTATGTTGTTCTGCTGTTTCATTGTCAATACGACTTCTAGAAGTTTCAGCTTTACGCAGAAGTCTTGCAGCACGTTGTTCTGCTGTTTCATTATCTAGTTTTAGACGTTTAGCTTCAGAATCTCGTTGGAGTCGTTCAGCGCGTTGATCAGCTGTTTCTTGTTGCCTTGCATTTTGCCTTTTTGCGGCAGCTGCGGCCTTTCTTTCCTCTTCAGAGTTATATTTCTTAGGAGGCATGTTTTTTTGCATACAATGATTATTTTAGTAAATAGGTAATATTAAGTAAAAGCAGAAGAATATGGGTAATTAGTAATCAAAGTAAACAATTAGTAATCAAGTTATCAAAATTATTTTTTTTTTGGATGAAATATATCTATGAAATTTATTGAAAATTAAAATATTCTGTTATTTTAAAATATGTATTTATTTTTAAAATAAAGTTTTTAATTTTAAAATGTTTTCTTTTTTTTTAAATATAATTTTCATTATGATAATGATCAGAATGATGATGCGCGCGCATCCGTGACAGAACCGGCCGGCCGGCCCATGACGGTCGTGACTATATATGTTGATTTTACTATTATAGACGCGTATGATTCGAATTTTGATAACAGATGGCGCGTTAATGCATCATAATAAATTTTACTATTAAAATATTGTATATGTGAAAAAAATAGTACAAATGTGATATTGTACTGGGATAAGGTGCATACATTATGGAGCAGCTTGCACCACGCTGACGAGAGCCAACAGCCCTAAACGCGTACGTTATAGCTTTTCTTGATTTACCAAGAAAGGGTATTTGGCCAATTCTTGAATAATTAAAAATCAACGAGAATAGTTGATATTTATTCTGATAGATGGTGCAAGCCATCAGCACTTTTCAGTTTCACGATAAGGAAAGACCTTTTCCATTAAATATGTGATTAGTTTTTACTTTGTTTTTCCACTTTAAATGTGTCTATTGGGACTTAATTTAATAATTTGGAAGGCTACTTTCCCATCTATGCCATTGAAGAAAAAATATTAAAGTTCCTGTCCCATTGAACGACAATATCCAGAAAAACGATATTCATGATGAGTATAACTATTCAGTTATCCCGAATCAGAAAAACCAGCAGAAATATAAGACCACGAGTTCCGCTAATCTAGAAAGAAGTCGGTGGGCGAATGGTTAAAACCCTCGATTCCAGACAGCCATGAACCAGGATCGAATCTTTTATTGGAACACTTTGTTTCAATATGTGAATAACCTTCATATAATATTCAATGTCTTCTTATTTCTTATCTCCACTCAATCAAATTAGGGTAATTTGGCAACCATCATGACTGGGTGAAGTAGAATGCGTCTGCCTTTGTCATTAAGACTGGGAGCACTACTCAGTGGCAGGCCGACTTAGCGCTCCAAAAGAAATGGCCGCCTCTGACATGAGGAACAGACGCCATGTGCAGCCGATCCTAATATGGAGTACAAACACTGCTCATCCTGTGTCCCTGGATTAGGAACCCTTACAGGGTACTATCAGCCGGGCCAGCTGAACCCAGGTTTTTTAGTGAGCTTGTTACTGCTCCTCCTTTTTCATCCGGGCTTGGGAACGGCAAAGGCGGAGTTAATCATTCATTGTGAATATCATAACCTGGTTGCGCTCCTTTTGAGCGTTACCTATTAAAGTTTGTAACTGGAACCGTTTAACTAAGCTTTAGTGGTAGAATCCACACATATATCCCTTACTGACAAACAAACATTCACTGCGTACAAGAATGCGTAGCACAAGTACAAACTTATAATTTAATAAAATAAATAAAGATTCCAGAGCTAAGTTTCTTATAACACAATATAATGCGGCTTATAATTGTGGAACGACATTTGAAAATTATCCCGCATGTGTTTATTTTGAACTGAATTTCGAAATTTATTCCAAAGAGAAATAACGATTATTTCTAACCTTATGGATGAAGTATGAAAGGATGAATTGTGAAGAGTAATGATAAATGGAAAAATAAAAGTGTCCAGGGATGGGAATAGAACCCACAGTGTTCCGCTTACCGGGCAGATGCCATGTCCACTAGGCTACCCTGGACATTTTTTTCCGTTCGTAATTTACGAACACTGTGGGTTCGATTCCCATCCCTGGACACTTTTATTTTTCCGTTTATCATTACACTTCACAATTCACACACATCCTTTCATACTTCATAAGGTTAGAAATAATCGTTATTTCTCTTTGGAATAAATTTCGATTTTTCGTTCAAAAGAAACACATGCGGGATAATTTTCAAATGTCGTTCTAAGTTTCTTGTTTAATTCGATTTCTCTAGCCTTCGGATTAAAATGTCCTTCAACAGGAGTAACTAAGAGTAAACTTCTAGCTACCTAGCTGGATGTTATACACACACACACAAAGCCTTTATTAAGACATTAGTCTTATACAGATTCTCCGTACAAGGTGCAATATCAGGAAAAGAGCAGCACAGGAAACCAGTAGTTCCGCAACTATATACAATTATTAGTAATAAGGAAAAGTAAGATTTAATATGAAAGGTCGACCCCTCGATGTTTCGTCATCATTCTGAGGTGTAAGAACAATAGCTTCCAAGTTTTCTTTTCTCCCTCTTTACACCTACTGCCTTGTAAAAATTATATAGGGCCTGAGCAACTAGTCTGCTTGTTTGGGCACTGGTTAACATCATTTGGATGGACCTAAGTTGGCTGATGTCTACCATTGAAAAGAATGTCCTTCTCTCCTCACTAATATCTTGGCATTCATAGATATAATGAGATAGTTCAGTTTCCATATTTTCTTTGCAGAGATCACAAATCCAGCTGGATGTTATACTCCTAGTTACTCCTATTGAAGAGGACAAGTTAACCCGAAAGTTAAGAGATTGAACTGAAAGATGACATTTTCTCTCTTACAACAAACCGTGTTAAAAATAAACACAGATTTGAAAATAAGCTATCAAAATTAATTATTCAAATATTTCGAAGCTAGAAACTTTTTTTTAGCCATTTAAAAATATAATAACTTTTACTTCATAATGAGTAGGTATCTGGTAAAATTATTCATGTAGAGAATTTGATAAGAACATTTTGAGATGATAAATATTTATTGAACTAAGCATATAGAATAGTTGTATAGGTGTATGGTTTTCTGATACAAGCTAGAGTCATTTAGATAAATAAAGGGGGGTCGGTAGAAGGAAGGTCTAAAACGTTGGATTTTCGACCGCTGACTCGGGTTCGATTCCCGCATTGGACACTTTTTCTGTTTTAAAAAAAAATTCTCCAATGGCCCCAGTTTCTTGCAAAAGTCCAACCTCACCAGCAAGTAACCAAACGGGGCTCTGTCACACTTGTAAGTGCAAAGTCGAACTGCTTTTCACATGTGCAGACATGTGGTGCACTTACAGCAAAAGCAGTCGCCTACTTCTACCCACCCTGATTATTATGGCCTGTAACACGTGTACTAAGGATGAGCAAAAAAAGATAAATAAATCATTCCATTGGCTGGTGATTGATCACGTGACACATACTATCTAAACAATTATTTCTTCAATAGCATAATCCTTTTGGCGAGCTTCACGTCAAGGTAATGTTGTTTCTCTTTTCCTTTACGTTCTTATAAAACAGTTAAGTACCAATTTCAGACTTATGATAGAAATTTCAATGCTTTTTCCAAATTTATGCCAAATTTTAGTGAAATATAACTATTTTAACATCAATTTGTATTTTGGAATCATATGTTCTTGATATAGAACAGTTTTAATCAATTTCAAGAAAATATTTAATTTTAAAATACAAATATTTGAAAACTATATTAGTTGAATCATTTAGAAACTATGTGTGAATTAAAACATGCTTTAGTTTGAAAATACGAAGGATTTGAACTTTTTTTTAAAGCAGTGAATGATCTATTTAAAAATTACTTTTTATGAATATTTTTATAACTATAATATATTCTGTATTGTTATTATAATTGCTTTTAGGTAGTTTTACAATTTTTGTATCGCTATTTTTAAATATTCGTATGCAAATTTTGTTAATAGTGTGTTCATTTTGATGAATAATTTAACAAATTTTTATCTTCTAAATGTGGTTTTATAAATTCTTTATCTTTCCATATTATTTTAGTCAATATTTGAGTAAAATTAATCTAGCAGGTTTACAATAGTATTCTAAAACTTTTTCAGGAATTTTCTTTTATTTTCGCAATGACTCTACTGATAATTTTTAAATGTTAATAATCTCTTAAGAATAAAATATATTTTATAAATCATTGCAGTTAGTATAAAGTCTTTATAAAGTTTAAATTATTTGTATTAAAAGTATCGCTATATAAGAGAATTTTTGGTAAATTTCATAAATAGATTTATGATATTTAAAGCATTTGTTTTTGACATTATTTTCGAGTCCTCGGTAGTATAGTGGTTAGTATTCCCGCCTGTCACGCGGGCGACCGGTGTTCGATTCCCCGCCGGGGAGCTTTTTTTTTTTTTTTTGGGGGGCTTAAAAATCATTTTATTTTGGTTAGCAGCCCCGTAAATAAAGATATTTCCGACTTCTCGTTTGATCTGAGCTCTCCGAAAAAAAAAAAGTGAAATCATATCAAATATCTACAATAAATGAAAGAAAATTCTCTTTAGGGAAGAGTTACTTTTTATATAACGGCAATATAAGCTTTTTTTTTTCGGGCTTAAAAGTCTTTTGACAGGTATAAATAAGTATGCTACTAAATTTTTCTTCCATTTTTAATTTTACCGAAAGTATAATAATAACTTTATTTTTCAAAAGGTTACAAGTTTTTCTCTAAAAAGTGTAGCGAATGGTCAGTCTATTTACACATTTTTATTTACAGCTTCAATAAATAATAACTGTAAAAGTAAACTAAATATATTTACATTTGCTATCTTGACTCCTGGTAAGTGCTGTGGCCCTCGCAGATATGGTCCCCTGATGTCCTGCAGCTCTCCAGCAGTCTTTCTATGGCCTCTCCTGGTGGCTCCTCGATAAAATGGTCCCCTGGCTTTGATCCATTCTTATCTGTCAGGTCTCCTGTCATCTGCTCTAGGTCGTTCTCCTGGATCTCTTCTATGGCAGTCGTATACCTGTGCTCCATGTCTGGTGTTCCTCGTCTTCACACGCCAGCTCCCTACATCGTTCCAACAATCGATCCATGGTTTCCATTTCTTTATTTCTCTGGGACTTATCGTGAGGTTCATTCTTCTTTTCTGTTGAGATAATTTCCATAGTCTTTTTTAGGACCAAGGATTAGATGTATGCGAAGTCCCTTTTTCATATGTTTATTTCCTTCCGAAATTGTGTGTTATATTTTGTTACGATTCCATCCCATGTTAAGACTATCGGCACTACTTTTACGGACATTTTTTCGGTTTGAGCCATTTCCCTCGCCAGTAGCTAGTATTTTCTTTTCTATGTTAGCTCCGTAGTTTGGATATTGTCTTGGGAGGTAATGCCTATCTCTATGATTGTTATGTCTTTTTCATTTTGTCATATACTATTATATCAGGTTTGTTAGCTCTGATATTGATATCGCTTATCATAGGCAAGTCCCTTATTATCTTGGCGTATGAATTTTCAATTTTAGTTATTTTGTGGAGCTTTATCTTGTTGTTTTCAGTGAAATTATTATTTCTTGACAGATTAAAGTGGACGCATCTCACCACTTCATTATGCCTCTCAGCGTAGTCGTAAGGAAGCAATCTTCCACAGTTTGTAGCAAGGTGGTCCACCGTCCTCTATACCTTTTCACAGTGACGGCATTTCAGGTTTTTATCCTTCGGGAACACGCTTCTATCTTCTATGAACATATAAAAACCTTCATTTTGCGGAGTGTTGTTTCCCGTTTTGAGCCACTGTGAGGATTCTATCATGTCCAATAGCGGATGCTCTTCATTTTTGAAGAATGTTTTGTTGATTTTTTTCTGGCCAATGATTCCTCTTATATTTTCAATCTGTTTTTCTTTTAGAGTCTTGATTGTGATGTCTTGGTTTTCCAGTTTATATTTGTTATCAATAATTAACTGAGGGTGTGCGCGCATTGTATTTTCGCCCTGTTCACACATCTTAATATCTTTCTTTCTCCTTGTGGTCTCCCCACCAAATATATATCTGTAGCTGCCCAGAATAATTCGTTCGTATTTTTGGACCAAGTTCACCAACCTTCTTCCCATTTCTTCGCGTTGAAGATATAACCTTTCTATATTCGCTTGCTTAAGGTGAATTTTATATTTGCTCAGCGTTGTTCTCACTTTTTGGTCCATCATTTCTAGTTCTCGCTCACTAAACTCCACGATAATAATATTGATAATAATTTATCTTATAGTTTAGTTGAACATCTCATTAAATAGAAGAAACAAAAATAAATATTAATAGAGAGAGAAAATAGAGGTAACCCGGGCTCCTGGAGCGTAAAACGCCAACTACCGGGTAAATACTTATATTGTCGAAATGGATGAATTACTGAAAGTTTTGGGATAATTCAAAACTGATAAGCAAAGTCATTAGAAGATTTTTAATCTTTAAAGACTGATAAATTGCTTTCAAAATATGATTTTTTAAATGGCACAATTCTTCGATATAAAGGATTTTTTTTTCAGTTTATACGCTATATTTTTGCTTCTACAGACTACAAACACGTTTGTGGCTAAAGTTTTTTTTAACATCGTTGAATATATAAACTATATTTTCTTCTTCTTCTTTCTTATCTCCACTCAATCACACTAAGGTATCAAGCTTGTGAAGCTTGAGACTTTTGATGGTGTCTGCCGGGGAAGAGTAGAGCTCATCAATGGATGAGTCAATACAGTCAATAATATGTTCCGGGGCCGCAGGTTGAGAATTGCACTTAGTACATGTGGGAAAACCTTGCAACCATTCTGGAAAGTCATTGTCCGTAGATGACAAGACTTAAGTCTGGAAATCAAAGACTGTTGTTCTCTTGGGAGGACAGAATCGGTGTAAACTATATTTTGAAAATGATGCTCTTTAATCATATCAAAATAATATAAAATTGTCATACTATCACAGATTTACATATAAATTCGTTTATTCTTTTTTTTTTAATTGTGAGGAGTCCATTGAATATCTTGTGGATCTCATGGAATAAAGATTGCTCTAGACTGACGAGGGCCATTAGCCAGAAACCATGGTCTCTAGGTGGACGCTTCTGTTTGCTAAAGCTGGTGTTGTGGCTTTGTCAACGACCCTAAACCGCTAGTTTGTCGCGACGGTCAATAGATTGCGTCTAGTTTAGACGTTAATTTTGACGGGAGATGTGTCCTATGCTTTTATTGATGTATAGATTATTATTTTTCTGAAACTGTTCGATTTCCATTCGTCTGTTTCATTATTAATATCATCAATATATTTCTAGAACTTTATTTTTTCATAGTAATATGGAAGTAAATTGAGTCATCTTCTTCTCTAATCTCATCATTGCTTGATCGTAGTCTATTTAGTTTTTTGAGGTGGCTTGAATTAGAATCCCACCTAAAAAAACTACGATCAAGCAATGGTGAGATTAGAGAAGAAGATGACTCAATTTACTTCCATATTACTATGAAAAAATAAAGTTCTAGAAATATTGATGATATTAATAATTGATTATTATATTGTGGCAAATAAATAATTTACATATAATTATCTAATTTAATTATTCAATGAAAATATTTAAAACAGATTTATTACTTTAAATTTGTAAAATCATCATTTAGTTGCCTAGCTTGCTTGTTCAATATTCTCTAGCTGTAGATAGTTTTGTTTGTTGATAATTGTCGACTAGTCGTATTGACGCCATCAATAAATACTTTTACATCTTAAGATATTCCAAGACTTGATTTCTACGCTACAAAATTTATGCAAAAAACTGGAATTTTACTTCAGAATGGAAATCGCTGAATCCTCCAGACCTCTGCTTGACACCTACTGGGCTAAGTACAAGGTAGGTATTTGCATTAGCGAATACTTTTAATATGTTTCATATCATTCTATTCGTTTAGATTTTTCAAGGAGGAAATATCTTTATTTACGGGAATGCTAACCAGAATTAATGATTTTTGAGCCCCGATGGACGCATAAAGCGGAATATATACAAAGTATTATGTACAAAGCACTGTTGGAGGGGCCTGGGGATGGGTGGTCAGGGGATAATCGCCGGGTGAGGCCAGGAGAGCCGGGATGTAGAGGAGGGGGGCAGGGTGGTGATCCACCAGAATGGATGATATTTGAGCCCCGATAGACGCATAAAGCGGAATATATACAAAGCACTATATACATTTAAAATACAATATAACGCGGCTGATGATTGTAAAACGAAAATTAAAATTATACCGCGAATGTTTCTTTTAAAAATCGAAATTTATTTTCAAAGAGAAATAGCGACATTTCATTCATTGCACTGTTGGAGGGTTCTGGGGATGGGTGGCCAGGGGATCATCGCCAGGTGAGGCCAGGAGAGCCGGGATGTAGAGAAGGGGGACAGGGTGGTGATCCGCGGAGATCAGGGGAAGACGGGTCCAATAGTATTGAGTCCAGGGGTGACCGTGGAGAGCAGACAGACCGCAATGCTATGTATGTTGCAGCCAGAGCGGACAAAGTAAATATCTACAAAGTAAAGAGAGAGATTGAGATTGAAACTACTTTGTTTCAATGTCCATTTAAGATTAAAAGATAGCGGAGCGTGGTTGCTATCTTTAGATTTGTTAATATTGTGGCAAAGTATTTAATATTTTATCAACAAAGTATCATTTTTGATGTTTATATTTTGCTATTCTGCAAACTTCCCTCATTGTTTATCTTTTTTTCAAACTGCCACGTGGAAAATTAGGAAAGACAAACTTCATGATGACACAATAATTTATTTTAAGACAAGAACAAACTATGAAAGTCTGGTCATCTACGGACAATGACTTTCCAGAATGGTTGCAAGATTTTCTCACTATGTACTAAGTGTCAACCTGCAACCCCAAAACACATTATTGTCTGTATTGACTCATCCATTGATGAGCTCTACTCTTCCCCTGAAGATACCATCAAAAGTCTCAAGCTTTACAAGCTTGATACCTTAATATGATTGAGTGGAGATAAGAAAGAATAAAATGACAAACTATGAGTGATAAAAAAAAAGATAAGCAATGAGGGAAGTTTACAGAGTAAAAAAATATAAACATCAAAAATGATACACTGTTAATAAAATAATAAATACTTTGCAACAATATTAATATGTCAATAATGTGTCTCCTCTTCACCTTGTTTTAATAAATTATACTAGAAAATACTTATCAGCCTATTAAAAAAAAGTAGCAGATTGGAAAATTCTAGTTGTGGGAAGGTGCACCACTTTTGCCATTTTCCTCGAAATTTACACTCATGAACAAAACTTAAGGAAGTTGTATCTTTTAGCATGTATATCTGGATTCAGACAATAACTCTGAAAGATATTACAGTGACCTTCATTGAAAACACACGAGATAACCAAGTGTAAACAAAATTGACTGTCTACTTAAAAAAAAAAAAAAAAGACCAATAGCGACATCAAAATATAAAACTTTGTTTCACCCATGTGTAGCATGTCACCCATTATTGCAGTATAAAATCTTTAGGAATGTTTTAAAATATGATTTATAATTTTAATTGAATATACATCGCAAATGAAGTAATAACTCTTTATGTAAAGGTTTAGAATTTATGTAAATTTTCATTCTACTTATCCTTGCTCTTCAAAAAAGCAGTTTAGGTTAAATAGGTGAAGTAAATATTCTGAACAAACATATTTTTCTAATAAATAAACCTCAGTTTGAAATATAGTAGCATAATAACATTTAGCAATTTTTGCACGATGAGGAGATGCCTTTTTCATAATTTATGGACCTTATCCCAGTACAATATCACATTTGTACTATTTTTTCACATTAGAGATTAGTGTTATCTTCTAACACTACATGGTTAGATAACAGCAATGAATAGGCAGAACTTTCCTTACAAATTAGATTATTTCATGTTGCACAAAATATTTCAAGGAGTCAAACTTTCCTTATTGTAACATCGATGAGGAAAAAAATAAAATAAAATCTGATAGAATAATATTTTGTACACAGAATAATGTTGGAAGATGCGTATCCTTTATTGTTAGAAAGTTTCAAGTTTTTGAAGTCGATGCTTTTATACTGTCGAAAGAGGTATAACACGATAACAAGAAAGATTTATAATATCACAGCCCCTATGTAACTTCAAAATTAACAGATAATTAACAAAAAAATTAAGAATCAGAACAGGACATTTTAAAGGAATGAAGATACACCCAGACATGGCTAGATCCTACAGGAACTGCAATAACTGTTACAACAACCAACTCACTCCGGACCATATATAGTTGCCCGGCCATCCTTGCAGCCCTCCATATGGCAGACATCAGTCCAGAAGAGGACATCCATACAAACAAGGTACCTCAGTTGGCCGGTATTGTAATCAGGGTGCATGGACCGATCTGATCTGTTCCATGGACAAGACACCACCAACTACTATATCTATATGGCAGACATCAATCCAGAAGAGAACATCCATACTAACAAGGCACCTCAGTTGGCCGGTATTGTGATCAGGGTGTATGGACCGATCTGATCTGCTCCATGGACAAGACACCACCACCACAGTTGGCCGGTATTGTGATCAGGGTGCATGGACCGATCTGATCTATTCCATGGACAAGACACCACCACCACCACAGTTGGCCGGTATTGTGATCAGGGTGCATAACCGATCTGATCTATTCCATGGACAAGACACCACCACCACAGTTGGCCGGTATTGTGATCAGGGTGCATGGACCGATCTGATCTATTCCATGGACAAGACACCACCACCACCACAGTTGTGCGGTATTGTGATCAGGGTGCTTGGACCGATCTGATCTATTCCATGGACAAGACACCACCACCAACACAGTTGGCCGGTATTGTGATCAGGGTGCATGGACCGATCTGATCTGCTCCATGGACAAGACACCACCACCAACACAGTTGGCCGGTATTGTGATCAGGGTGCATGGACCGATCTGATCTGCTCTATGGACAAGAAAACACCACCACAGTCTATTTATATATTGAGAATAAACTGAGTATAACATGTTATAAAAGCGGATTCTCCGCCAGGTGGCCAAAGGGAAAGGTTGCGTGAAACGACAGCTCCTGCTAGGTAATTTATTTTTAAAGCTTTTTCGCCGTACTTTATAAAAAAGAGCTATTTTTTTATTGAGGTGATATTGGTAAATTTATATCTTCATAATATGAGGCCAATTGTAATTCTTATCATAATTTATTTAAATTTACAGCGAAACAAGCCTCGCTCAACTTTTATCTATGCAAATTTTGATTCGTGTGAAAATTGTGCAAATTATAGTTTGGCAGTGGATCTGGGTTATGTTGAGAATCTGAAATTCAAGATTCAGATTCAGTACAGAAGGCCAAAGCTTAGATGTATAATTTTGATGTTATTACTGATATCTGGCATAGAGCAAAACCCGGGACCTAGGCCCACTAGGCAAACTACGCTCGAGTCATGTAAGGAAGGTGATATTCGACAATTGATTGGTGCAATCTCAAATAAAATGGATAACTGGGGGGATAAACTGATATCTGGCATAGAGCAAAACCCGGGACCTAGGCCCACTAGGCAAACTACGCTCGAGTCATGTATGGAAGGTGATATTCGACAATTGATTGGTGCAATCTCAAATAAAATGGATAACTGGGGGGATAAATTAGAGACAAGATTACTTTCTATAGAGCAAGGAGTTGATAAATTAAATCGACGTATACAACAACTGGAGAATACTATGGAAAACACGGTAAAATCTGTCTCGAAGAATTCTGAAAGGATCCAAGAAATTGAGAAAAGAATAGATTTCACCGAAATGAAAATGAGAGAAAGTAATTTAATTTTTTACGGAGTCGAAAAGAAAGAAAATGAAACAAGCGATGAATCTCTCGCAAAAATAAAACAGATAATTACGGACAATATGCAAATCTCCGAGAATATTAACATCCTTAAATGTCATCGATTATCTAAAAGGCCGAGCGCACCCCTACTGGTTGAAATACCCAAATATGAAGACAGAATAAAACTATTTAGGAATGCATTCAAGCTTAAGCAATTAAGGATTTACATAAATAAGGATTACACCTTAAAAGTTAGAGAACAGCGTCGATTGTTGATTAATAAGAGAAAAGAACTTTTGGCTAAAGGAATCTCATCTAGACTTCGAGATAGCAAGTTGATTGTGGGAAGTACTGTTTACCAAGCTATAAATGATAAGATCATGAGTTCAGAAGGAACTGAGATATAGCAAACACTCAGAAAGGAACTGGAAGGATCACATCATATCTCTTTTTACAGGCAAGAAAATATCACTATCAATCACATATAGCTAATAGGAATGGAAAACTAAACTACTCGATTTAACAACTATTAAAACTTGGTCACAATTATGTAAATATTATGTATTGGAATTTTTCCAATTTATACGTTTTCCCTTTCATTAATTATTTAAAACAATTTGAAACATTTGCTATAACGGAAACTTAGTGCCAATTTTATCTAAAACTCGAGATCGAGAATTTCCAGGTTTACCAATCACTTGCCAGAAAAATCTCGGGTCAGGGAAGAAGCTCTGAAGACATCATTGTGGGAATTTATATCAAAAATAAACACATACTGGACAATGTTGAAGAGAAAACTAATTGGATTTCGGTTACTTAAAATGAACCCAAGCATAGATTCATTGCTGACTTGTATAACCTTCACGTATCTACCTCCTAACGAACTCCAACTAGAGAATATATATATCACCATTATATTCTTTATTATCCAACTTTATAGACAATAGTTCAGTAGCTCTAAATCTATATAACTTCCATAAAAATGCTGTAAAAAAGAAAGACTTAACCGAACATTCAAACTTACCAAAAATTTCTGTTTGATGAGAAAGACAGAACCAACATCCAATTATTTGTTTAGGCAGATACGATAAGTTAACAATGATAAAACGGTGTTTACCTTACAACCCTGAACACGAGGATTTCCTGGGAAATCTCTTAAAGATTTCTTAAAAAATACATGGCCCACCTGTGCTGTGTGAGAGCTTAAATGGTCTTGTTTCATATGTAAATACCTGTTTTCTTTCCTCTTTTCGCTCTCCACTTCTCCCATCCATATTTCCAAAAATTTTTTTTTTTTTTTTCTCTTTTTTTGATTTTTTTTTTTTTTTTATTCTTCTTATTTTTTATTCTTTCTTATAATCTGTATATATTTACCAAATGTATATAATCTTTCCCCATTTTTTATTTCCCACTTTCATAGGTTTCTCCGTTTTGTAACCCCAAGGAGAATCCTCTGTAAGACCTGTGTGTCTTAATAAAGGCTTTTGTGTGTGTGTGTGTGTGTTATAAAAGCAATCATCTTGATCTGTAAAAAGACAACCTCTTTTATAATGTTTAATAAATCTTAGTGTGTTACAATTGGAGGAATATCGCAGGATATTCTTGCTATGAAAAGACCAAAGAGGTAAGAGTTTGGTGAGCTCTAGAACAATAACGTCCTAACGGTTGTAAGGTGAATACAAGAAACTAGTGGAGAAAGCTCGCCAAATTCATACCTCTTTAATAATAATCCCTATATATATAAAAGTCAGTGTATGTATGTATGTGAGTTTCTATGTCGGCTATACACGTCCACAATACGTAACCAATCTGACTGAAATTTTAACAGTATATATATTTGAATCTGGAAAAACGTATAGTGAAAATTTCAGGTCTCTATCCCGAATATTCTTCGAGTTATTTGCAAATTGCGTTGCAAATTTGCCCTTTCGCTCGCAAGCAGCGCCTCTAGCGGTGAAGATGGGAAGTAATATCAGCTGACCTAATGTACATGTAAAACGTGTTTTAACAGAACATAGAGAAAAATCTGGAAGAGATATTTTTGCATTTTTAGGCAAGAAAAATTGAAATTGACAGTTTCTGGGCATTAGAAGTTGCTTTTTAGTCAGAAAATGATGATGAAAATATTGCTGTATTATGTTTGATTATCATATACAAAATAATATCGGGAAAAATTCCAAAAAGCAGAGACAACGGGTGAAACCAGTTCATTTTTTTGTACGCA